TTCTCCTTTTGCCTTCCATCTTTTCCAGCATCAGGGTCTTTTCCAAAGAGTCCTCATTAGGTGGCCAAAATATCTGAGCTTGAGCTTCAGTATCAATCCTTCCAATGAGCAGTCAGGGTTGATTTCCTTTAGGATTGACTGGTTTGACCTTCTGGCAGCCCAAGGGACTGCTAAGAGTCTTCTCCAGCACTACAATTCAAAGGCATCAATTCTTTGGCGTTCAGCCTTCCTTATGGTCCAGCTCTCACAGCCATACATTACTACCGGAAAAACCATAGCTTTGATTATGCGGATCTTTGTCGGCAAGGTGACGTCTCTGCTTTTTAATATGCTATCTAGGTTTGCCATAGCTTTCCTCCCAAGGAGCAAGCATCTTTTAATTTCATGGCTGCAGTCTCCGTCTGCGGTGATCTTGGAGCCCAAATAAATGAAGTCTGTTACTGCTTCATGTGGTCCACTGGAGAAGGAAATGGCAACCCACTCCAGTATCCTTGCCAAGAAAACCCCATGGACAATGATAAACGTAGTATGCCTTGTTTGTGATATACCCATGCTGGCCATTGTTAATGACTGCATTCCTGTCCAAGGGCTCACAAATATGTTGTTTAATACTCTGCTTGTGGACCTTGCCCAGCATAGATGTCTGTAATTTCCCAGGTCCACTTCCTTTCCTTCACTGGGGGAGAGGAGCAATATTTTGTTCTCTCCAGTCTTCTGGGACCTCACCAGTCCTCCAGGAGTTCTCAAAGATGATCAAAAGCAGTTCTGGGACCACCTTTACTAATTTTTTTCAGTGCTATGGGATGTAATCCATCTGGCCCTGGAGATTTCAGTTTGTTTAAATTGGTGAACTGCTCTTCACCCTCTCCTTCTCCATCCTGCAACTGCCACTTCCTCCTTCCACTAGTGGTACAACCATGGAGACCCGGGTTTCCTTTCTTTCCTGAGAAATGTAAAATGTGAGTTGAAACTTTCTGTCCTCTCATCCTCCTACCCATTTTACCCCTTTCCATTTCACCTCTTTCTCTTCATAAGTCTTACAGCCTCTTTGTCTTTTGTTTCATTTCTGTGGCACCCCAAAAGATCCTGTTTTATTTTCCCCTTGTTTTGAGCATTTCTTGCCTCAGCTCATTCTGTGCAGTAGCCTTTTTGATAATCCCTGCAGTTTCCAGTTGCTGCCTCGTATCCTTCTTTCTTTGCACATCACTCTCCCCTTTTCTATATATGCCCTTTTTCTTTTCAGTATATTGGTAGTAATTCTGTGTGTACCACGCTTGCCTCCCACTTAGAATTTATTGTGATTGCACCTTCAGTATTTCATTTTGCAGGACTTCCCTTTCTTCTTGGGCATTTTTTTTTCTCCATCAGTATTTCAAATCACTGGATCTGACTTATCTTCATCTGAGTTGATCAAAATCTGTTGTTCTGAAATCCAACATTCAAGTATGACTCTTCCTTCTTTGATAACATGGTCACTTTCCCCTAAGGTTTGAGTAACATTCCATTCTTCAACCAACCTCTCTCTTGTTAAGGATTAGGTCCAGATAGCAGGCATCCTAGTTCCTTTTTCCACAACTTCACAAATGAAGTTGTCAGCAAGACAGGACAAGAATTTGCTAGACTTTTGACTCTTGGCAGTGTTAGATTTCCAGCTGATGTCACGGTAATTGAAATATCCCATTGTCAATACTGTAATACTGCTGTGTCCTCACTATATTCTTGTATGGCAGCCTGGGGCTCAAGGGGAACTCAGTAGTATCCTACAGGCAAGGTAGGAAAATTAGTCACAACAAAATCAAGGCATACTCTCTGATGAAGACAAGAGAAAACAAGAACCCTGGATGAAATTCTGTCCTCTTAGGACAGAAAGATCTTGTTCCAGCAACACTGCAAAGCCAGCTGAAATTCTGCATAGGTGCCCATGATCAGTAATGTACTCTACCTATTCTGTCTGATTTTGAGGACTTGGACTTCCTCTAGGTTGAGGAGATAACAGGCTGAGTAAGAGAATTATGACTGCAAGTTTGTTTCTCTGCTCCTGAGTTGGCAAATATCCCTTTCCCTGAAATACAACTTGAAATACAACAATGCAAGTGTTTTCTGCTGAATCTTGAAAGGCCTACATTTGGGGGTATATAAGGTTTATACCCCGCCTCCTGACTTGCCACCACTACTAATCTCTAACATTTCTTGGCCAAGACGCAGAAGACAGCTTTCAGGAAAGCAAGTGAACCAGTACTAATAGGAGGAAGGAAAAGATGCTACTGTGCCAGACTGCTGTGTTGCTACTTCTCCTTCAGTACAGTAAGTTGTCTTTGTACGTCTGTCTCTACATTTTTGAGGGCATGTTCCATCAACACACTTGTGTTGCCTAGAATGGCCTACAGCTACAAACACCTGCCTATACAACTCACATTGCCCACTGAGTCTGGGATATCCAGTTTAATTATCAAAACTACATAGTGCTTCACTCCAGCTGAGCACAAATCTAAAACACAGGGCTACAGCCTCTTTTCAGTTCTTCAAGGCAAGACCTTATATCCAGGGCCCAAGCCTACTTTTGGGGGAAAAGTCTGAGTTTCTCCCCTCCTCTACAGCTGTCCAAAGTGTTTCCACCTGCACCTACTCCCAAACCAGGTTTAATGATACAATTGTTGAGGAGCTTGGTCATGGTGGCATAAAAGCCAAGCCAAGGGAAATTCAGGGTGGGCAAAAGTTCTTCCATTTGGTGCTAGGAATGACTCTTCCACGTAAGCCCAACTATCATACAGAAAGCAGTTCTGTTGCCATGGGCCTCCTTCAGAGCTAACAAGAAAGGAACTTTTCCTAGCAATCCTTAGATCAGCAGGAGCAAAGGCGAACAGAAGTGTTGCACTTAGTGGGACCAAGTGCTAAATTCAGTTCTATCAGAACACCCAACAGCTCCAGCATTTCTCCTTTCTGTGCCCACCCCCTCTCTTCCACCACCAAATGCATCCTGAATGCACAACACGAGCACTGACATGGGAGTTGTACTCTCAGGTATCTGCAATGCAGCATGTGGGGAAAAGCTGTTCTATACCTATTCCCCAAATTCCCTAAAAATGAGTTTATAGATGAATAATTGTGTGTCCTCACAAGCAAATACCATGCAGTTTATAGCACGAGCCACAAACTTCCCTTACATGTGTGTATTTGAAAAATTATGTTTGTATCTTTGCTTGTTTGTGTCTCCTTATCCCCATTTCTCTCCTCCCCTTTATGCTTCCCTGCACTTAAGGGGAAGGGGGCCCTGTTATATGCAAAAAAAAGGCTTGTGCCTAGAGGTGGTTCCCTAGGTAAATCAAAAGGAAATTATGAGGGGAAAGTTTCTGAAACAGTAAGGACCAGAAAGGCAGTCTGTTAATTTGCTTTTTTAATAATTTAACTATTTTAATCAGCACCGATTAAAACACAAAGCTGGTCTTAACATGGTGACTGTGCTACGGTATAATTGTGGCAAACCACCGTGTGCCCACTTGTCCAAAGTGACAGAAAGTGGCAGAAGAACATGGCAAAAAATCTCCCCTCTCTGAGATGCGCCAATGAAAAAAGAGGGAAGCCAACAAGGAAATATTGGGCTAAAATTATTTCCTCCACCTCTGCTGATGTCTCATTGGGGACCGTGAGAAGCAGGATTTGTGTTTTCGCTGCTAGAAAAGGGGCTCATGGCTCTTTCTGCAGCTCACCTCACCCCCTCAGGGGGTTTCCAGGGCAGATCAGGAGGCCTGCTGCTGCCAAGTGGGGTGGGGGTGGGTGGGTGGCTTAGAGGTAAGGGATTCAGGCTGGTCTGTCTTGGCCCCAGTGCCTGTGGAGCTACAACCCGACATGGCAGCCTCTTGCTTCCCATGCAGCCTCGGCTTGCCAGGACCTCACCTGCTTTGCTGACTACATCCAGACGCTAGAATGCACGTGGGGAGATGGAGTCAGCCTTGCTGAGAGGGCTCTGTACAATCTCACTGCAAACTGGTAGGTATGAGGACAGTGCGCTGCTGACCCCAGGCCCCCATGGCACACCATGCTTCTCTGTCCATTCCGGAACCAGGATCAGGAGCGTTCACAACCATTCCCTTCCCATATCAGGCTCTGCTTCTGGCATGACAGCCGCCTGGCCTGTCCCTCCCGCCTCGCAAACTCCATGGCGGGGCTCAGCTGTGGGTGAAAGGGACTTTCCTGATGAAAGCAGGGGCTCTTCCGCGGGGGTGGGGGGTGGGGGGCGTTGGGCTTGCAGTAAAGAGACTTCACCTCTCCACATGGAGAGAAGGAGAAAGCCCAGAAAAGCTTCTGGGGGGCTCCAGGCACCTCGCTCTCTGTTCCCATCCTGCATCATGGAACCCATGAATTTGCCTTCTTGCTAACTCCTCCTGCAATGCTTGTTTTCCAAGGGACTGTGGAGAAGGAGGGAGCTGCTCCTTCAACCTTACCTCCAGCAATGCTACCCATGCGCACTATTCCTGCTTCTCAGAGCAGAAGTTGTGCTTTGGCAACAACATATTTGATGTCAGCGTAACGATGACCACGCTTGTGGACGAGCCTTCTCACCTTCTCCAAGGATGCAAGAAGACCTTCCTCTTCCAGAATCACAGTAAGTACAAAGAAAGGCCTGGTGCTGAACTCCCAGGCAGGAGCAAGAGAGAGAATCAGCAGCAGGTACCAAGTGGATGAGGAAGCCCCAAAGGGCAGCATGAGGGGAATCGCCTGGTGCCTGCTTTCCTTGTAGTACTTTCCCCCTACGTGATCCCCACCTCCCCTGAGTGGGGAGACCCTCCAGTTCGTGCTTACCCTGGATTTGCTTTCCTTTGGAAGGAGCGATCAGTGGGACACAGGCAGTTTTTGCTATGTTTAGGTGCATTTGCAGTGAACAAGCTGAGGGCACTGAAAGTGCTATGATGTTCAGTTTTTCAGGGTATGCTAAGCCAAGGCTGCAAAGAGCCAGAAGAGACTGGAAAATAAACTTTTCTTAAGACGTCCCTAAAAAGCAGTTTCAACCACTGCCCAGGAGCAAATGCTGAAGCGCTGCTTGTCTCTTGTTGCTCTCCACATCCCTCCAGAAAAAAGCAAACCAAGTTCTCGGACAGGTTTTGGAGGGGGCTGCCCTGCAATCCTCTGCACCGCTTTAATTCTCTTAAAACTGCCGGGTGCTGCCTGCAGCAGGATGCCCTAGTCCAGCTTCTCTTTCCTGTCCAGTTAAGCCATGTCCACCAATCCACCTGGCCGCAACCGTATCCCTCACCGGCTACAACATTTCGTGGGAGACAAGATACCTGGAGCAAGAGTACAACTTCCTGGATGGCAACCTGCAGTATGAGTTGCGATACAAGAAGAAAGGCCATCCTTGGCAAGTAAGAAGGCAGAGCAGCGAGGTGGGGGGAATTCAAGGGCTAGCTGGTGCCCGAGGGTCAATCAGAAGGCATAGGCAGGATCTTCTTGGGAGGATGGAACACAGGGACAGCCCAATCGAGGAAAATTAGTGCACAACTGAGGAAAGTAGGAAAATTAATGTTTGGGAAAGACTGATGACCTTTTGCAGTTGCCCCCCCCCCCATGCTTTTTAAACATGCAAATAATGCTTATTTCACAAAGTAAGACTGTCTTGTCTCTAAGCCTGGAAGAATGGCTTTGAAGCTTCCTATTAAAACAAAAGTTTGAGCCAACAGAGCTCCCCCCAACCCTGACATTCCCCTGGTGTGAGTCAAAAGGAAATGCCTTCTCCATGGCCATACCACATGGTGGTCCTGATTTGTACACTTTCCTGGAAATAAAAAATAAGCAGGAGAAAAATGCCTGCTCCTCACCAGCCCAGTTCCCTTCACAAGGCTGGCTCACTCTGCGGCCACCCCAGCAAGCCTTCCTGAGTCTCAAGGCTAGCTCAGGAACAGCCTTCTTGGCTGGTCTCTTCCTAGCCTCCTTTGCAGGGTGTGGGTGGATACTAGTTTTTGGGACTGGTTTGGAAAAACCAGTAATAATCTCTGAAGTCCAATCAAAGTCAGGGCTACCAAGAACATCTCCCTCTGCACTTCTTGCATTATTGGGGATCCCCCTGTCCCTTAGAGTGAAATGAAAAATCCAGCAGAGACTGTTTTGACAGGATAATTCTGGGCTCTTCTTTGGGTTGCTGGAAGAGAGAGTTAACTGCTGGTTTGCAGATGACCCAGTGACCAGCTTAATCTCACAGAATCCTAGGGTGGTCTTGGGTTAAAACTGGTTCTCTTTGGGGGCCTGACCTGCCTCAGAACGGCTGGGATGGGGAAGCACTTCCTAAGATTTCTCTCTTCCTTTTCCCTCATGTAGGGGCAGAGCCAGAAATCCCTCTTGCAAGACCTACGGAGCTTGTGGCTCTTGCCCCAGGAGTTTGAGGAGAATACAGAGTATGAGTTCCAGGTGCGATCAAAGCCGGGGGAACAGTCTTCTTACCAGGGAACGTGGAGTGATTGGAGCACCCAAGCTGCCCTCAAGACAATGTACAAGGGTGAGCCCCCATACCATCCTCTGCCTTCAGGCTGGGCCTTTCCACACCTTCTCAGCCAAGATGGTGGAGAGAGCCAGCAGTCAATGCACCCCATCCTGCCCTCAAGCAGTTTATCTGGGACGATAGCTCTTCAATGAGCAAGGGGCAACCTTGCTTTTCCTGAGGTACAGCTAGCCCAATTACCTTCTCAGTCCAGGGAACCCAGCTTATGAGGACCCAAGGACCTGGACACCAGGTACATTCTGACCCCAAGCTCAGCTTCTGGAGCCTCCCCCAGCAGCAGGCTTCCTGCACTGGCTATTCAAGGTTGGATAACAAGAATGACTTTCTCACTTCCCTTCCTCAGCCTCGGAGCATGGTGGAGTCCAATGGCCAGAGGTGCTCTTACTGGTGTTCAGCTTGATTGCTGTCCTCATGGCCTTCCTGGGGTGGCACCAGAGGTGAGTGACAGTGCAAGGGAAGCCAGATGCAGCACAGGAAGAAGACAGAGACACTTTGGCCTGGCCACGGAGTTGCAGGCTTTTTCGTGTCTCCTTCCACTGCAGGCTTTTTTTCAAAATGTCTGTTTTTCATCTAGCACCCATCATCCCCAGCCAGCATAAGCTATATGAGCTGGGGCTGGTGTGTTTTGCTTCCACGGGTATCTCAAGGGGCCAAGTGGCAGAGGCTGGGGACCAGAGAATAATCAATAATGTCCCAAAGCACAATGAATTCCTTGTTGTCCCTAGATTACCTGGGAGAAAAACCGGCCTTCTTTCCAGGCAGACCGGCCACTGGGTGGGGCAAAGAGTGCCCAGTTCAAGACTCCTCCTGGACTGGGGGACTTGAGAAATGAAAGATGCCGTGCAACTCAGGGGTGTGACTTCTGCTCAGGACTTGCCCGTTAGCAGGTGGGACGACATCTGGTGACTGGGCTTTCTTTCCCCTTGCAGGTTATGGAAGAAGCTGGACTGTTTCACGCCCAGCCCAGCCCCCTTCTTCCAGTCTCTCTACCTGAGCCACAATGGAGACTTTAAGGTAAGAGCCAGCTCCTTGCTAGGTACCAGACAAAGTAATTTGCAGGGAGGGGAGGACTCAGAGTTGCAAGGGGGTGCCTTCACGAAGCACATTCTGGGAAGCTGCTGGCAGCCCAGAGCCGGCAGTCCCTAAGGCCACCACTGCCCCAGCAGGTGCTCCCTGTTGCAAGGAGGGCAGCCCATGGGCAGCTGTTGTGGCAGGTCAGGACAGGCAAGGGAACAGCACAGATTAGTCGGCCTCCTCCCTGCACCAGCCTGCCCTGCCAGCCTGTCCTCCACTACAACACCTTGGTTCCCTCAATCACCCTCCTGTGGGCATGCGTGCCCAGAGAGAGATCCTAAGCAGGCTGAAGAAGGGGAACCATGTCCTGTCCGAGGGCACATCCCCTCCCCATCCTGGCCGGCCTGCCAGTGAACACATGTGAGCAGCAGGCTGGATTAGAGCAAAAGGCACACTGGATCGTCATTCCCTATGTCACCAATTCTTCCTGCATTGCACTCCCTATCAACTCCCTATTGCCTATCCACAATGCAGATGCTCCTCTTTCCCATGTCAGCAAACTAAGCATATGTGGGATTTTTAAACGGTAAAGAGGTCTCTGCCCTATTTGCTAGGGAATGCTTGACACTGAGACACAGGCCTGATGCACTAAGAACAAATGGCCAGCAAACTGAATCAATAATGTAACTAATACGTCATGCCCAGCTACAATCTGCAACCTCCTACTGTTGCTGCTGCTTGAACAGAAAACATTCACGGTCTGGGCCACTTTTTCCTGGATCATCTGCTCTTGAGAACTGAAGGATAAAGGGGGGAGGGGGGAAATGGCTCAGGCTCAGGAAAAGTTTGGGGAATTTCAGGCCGCTCCTGGATCACTGTAACATCCAGGGCTTCCAGTAGAACCGTCAGTGGACTCCCAAGATTCTTCTTCTAAAGAGGTCCATCCAGATCTGAGCTGGAAAGGATCCTGGCCTTTCCAGCTGTGCCTCCCATGCATATCCACATAGCTTTTAAAACTCCTAGCTCCTATCTAATGGGGAGGGCTGAGGAGAAAAGGCAATATCCATGGACAATGTTTGGACTAAGGCCTTCCAGTGGACCTCCTCCACCATCTCTGAGGTTGAGCTATCACTTCCCCACTCCTTTTAGCTTCTCGTTCTTGGTGGTGTTATAATGGAATGTGAAACCTGCCATCCACAATCTTCCCCACCCACAACTGCACCACTCAGTGCGAGCCCAGCTTCTGCTCAGTTCAGGGATCCAAATTCGAGTATCCCAAATAGATGGCTGTCTGGTCTCCAATGGAACACATCTAAAGAAGGGGAGCCCTCAGCTCTCTGAGTGACTGGTCCCATTGTCAAACATCCTACCATTAGGTTATTTTTTTCCCTAAAGTTTAATCAAAAACTCTGATTTTTGAGATTCATTTCTAACAAGGCCTGAGTTGACCACAGACCTTGCCTTCCTTTTGTGGGATGACCATTACCAGGAGAGGGAGGGAACTGGGGCCTTGTGCCTTCTCCTGGAGCTCTCAAGGGCTTAAGGTTTCCATCAACCATGCTGTCTGAGTTCAGAACAGGCACAGCTGCTGTGTAGGAGTCTCACTCTTTGGATGGCTGCTTCAGATGGTGAAGCTGGAGGATTTGTGCTGCACCCAAGGCATTTGTGGTTTGAGCTTCACAGGATTCCATCTTGTTTCCTATGATGTTCAGCATCTCCACAAAACTGCTGAGTTAGGTCATCTGGGGATTTAGAGTAGTGTCCTCAATACACTGATAACAGTGTTTGTATTTAGAACTGCTCCAAGAGAGTGCTAGCACAGTAACGGAGTAGATGAGAACCAAGGAACTGATCATTCAGATAGGACTAAGGTTATCTTGCTAGGTGGTTTGGGTAGGCGGCAATATTCTCTGGAGCAACTAACCACCTAGATGGCACCTTCTTTCTCTAGTTGTTGTAACTGCATGTATCTCTCTTCTTCTCTCTACAGAAATGGGTGGGCACCCCATGCTCCGGAGCAACCCTAGATGCCTTTGACTGGGGTGTGGTTGTGCCAGAAACATTTGGGATTGGACACAAGCACCTTCTCTTGAGCTGTGCCAAGGGAGATTGGACTGATGGCCAGAATCTGCAGCCTCCAGTGTCTGTCCCCCTCCTGCCAGAATGCTTGCAGGCTGTGGCCAAAGACTGCAGTGCCACATGGGAGCAGGGGTATGGCCACCTCTCCATTGGCACAGTCACAGTGTCTGAGGAATTTGCAAACTGCTGCCCCAGGTGCAGCAGTGCCAGTCCATGCTGTGCCCTTGAGGAACTGCAGGAGGAGATGGAAACAAGTGAGAGAGATGCCTACCGTGGCCTGCAGTTGGGCGGCAGCAGCAGCAGCAGCAGCAGCCATGGCCTGGTCTCTGGGCATTTGCTGCCAGGGAATGAGATACCCCCCCCGGATTCCTTTCCCTCTGGGTTGGCCCCCTGGGCAAGCAATCCTCCCTTTGGCTGCCCTCTAAGGGCGGCAGAGGGATTCTTTGGCCCACTGCCTGCCACCTCCCTCTTGAGTGCTTGCCTTTCCGCCCCAGCAGAGGAAGGCCTCTTCTGCAGGGGGCCTCTGTCTCCTGACTGGGATGGCGAAAGCGACCCCGTCAATGGCCTGGACCTCGACACCATTGACAGTGGCTTTGCAGACTGCGACTGCAGGAGCTCTGGAGAGGGTGAGCTTGGAGAAATGCCGGCAGGTTGCAGTTGCCAGTCTGAGCCCAACACGGCTGATGGGGAACCCGAAAGAGAGGTCTTTCTGCTGCCAAGATATGTCAAGCAGTGGATTTAGTCCCACAGTATTTAGGGACTCAGCGGGCTGGGCAGGGGCTGAGGGGCCCAGCCCAATGCATCCCATGAGCCTCTGCCAGCCCTTGCAGGATGCTGCTGTACCAGAGGCCCGTGCTGTCTCACCTACTCACCTAAGGAAGGCCTTAGTCCAAACATTGTCCATGGATATTGCCTTTTCTCCTCAGCCCTCCCCATTAGATAGGAGCTAGGAGTTTTAAAAGCTATGTGGATATGCCCCACACCAGAAAGTGCTCACCTGCCTGAGAAAAACCTTTTTTGTGAAAAAGTGTTGCTCTCCAGGCAATGCTGGAATTGGGTCTTGGGGCACCAAAGAAAAATGGGAGTGGGGAGCAGGGCTGAGCTCCAGGGTTCCCCGCCTGCAAGCCGCATCTGTCCTGTGCCTGGCAACCCAGGATCAGGCACTCTCTTGGTCTTTCCTCCTTCCTTTAGGGCAAGCTGCAGTTAGACGGTGAGCCACTCCAAGCCTTTTGCTTCTGCAAAAACAGTGTTTTTGTTATTAAATTAAAGACTGTTTAGTTGATATTGATACTTAAAAAGTAAGACTGTCCTACAAGAATCAGGGTTTCCAAAATGTCTGAGTGCCGTGGGACAGGTTGATCTGGATTCCCTTCCTGCCAAGTTTGATGCTTTCTTAGACCAGCTCAGACGGACACCGACAACCTACTGACTGTGAATAAAAGTTACAAGACTGCAGTCCTTTGTCCCAGATGCCTTCAGACTCGGGCATCCAGAGGCTACGCGGGAGGAGGTTGTGATGTGTAGTGTGATCGCAATATGTGAAATAGATAAATTTGCCTGCACCATTGCAGCACACACGTCTTTCTTCCTCATGCAAGGATTTTGTTGCTTAGTGTCATACATTGGACAGAAGCATCATTAACGAGAACATCTTGGATATTTTTAAGCAAGTTCTTTCCAACTCAACAGAATGTTAGGAAGGAATGATATGAAAGGATTTGGGGCCACCCTGAGAAAACTAAACAGGAGATGACCAAAGTTGGTGTGGAAGGAGAAATGGCAAAAGAAAGACTGAGTTTGAAAATGGGCATATCAGACCAGGGACTGAAGGGGAGAGGATCCAGAAAACCTCCCCCTCCCCCCCGCCCAGGTATCTCAATGCGAGAGGCAGCTGCTCCACATTTTGGCAAGTGCTCCACTCTCAGCCCCCCCAGTCATGTGACCCAGAGTGAGGCCCATTCAGCCTGTCCTGTGCCCTGCAGTGCAGACATAACAACACTTGGGGAGGGTAGCACATTGCTTCTGGGTCATCCCAGAAGAACATGCAGACGCTTCCTATGGTGTCTGCTGGTAAAGGGGTTAGAAAGAATTCTAGGAATCATGCTCTGCATGCTTTCCCTACCTCGTTCATAACTCTGACAAATTCAGATTGCAGTATTTTCAGAAAAAATGTCAGCACATTCTGAATAATGAACATGGGCAGCAGAATTATATCTCATCAGAACTTTGGCCCATCTAGTTCAGTATTTGTCTGCATAGGTTGAGACAATATATCACACATAGCTTGTTTGTATTTGATGTTTACTGAATATACCAGAAAAAATAATAGTCCAAACAATAAACCACGGTTTAAAATCATGGTGGCTGGGCTCATGCAATGCCTAATCAGATCCCATTATTTATTTATTTATTTATTTAATTTATGGCCTAGTGTAACATGTGAATCAAGCCAATACCTGGCCAAAACCACCCAATGTGTCCGGTGTGAGTCTTTCCCAGCCTCACTGCCCTAATCTAAGTATAATGTTACAACTCTTTTGTTTAAGAATGCTTCAAGGGTTCCATCCAAATGGCAAATTCTTAATGCTAGGGATCAAATGACATTACATAGTTATTGGCATGGTTTGGTTTACTAACCATGGTTTAAGTTCCTGCCACACAGATGAACGAGAAACTTGCCATAAGGGCTGGGTCCACAGAAGCTAGCCAGTCACGCTGCAGTCTTGCCTGTTGCACAAACCCGTGCTGTCTTTTCATCTTCAACAGCTTTCTTCCAGTAAGGAAAAAGCAGGGTGAATGGGGAGGGCAACTGGATGTCTTGTTTAGACACACCACAGGTTGGGTCGGAAAGCCAGTCTGGCCTAGCAGTTAAGGCACCAGGCTAGAAACCAGGAGACAGTGAGTTCTAATCCCGCCTTAGGCATGAAGCCAGCGGTGGGACCTTGGGCCAGTCTGTAATGATTTGTCACCTCCGGCTCCCAACAAAAGAAACACTCCATCAATCCAGTGACTCATTGCAGAGTTTCAAGAGGTCACCATGAACGGGGTGGATCTGTTTAAGGGTCGGAGGCAGGTGTAAACGAACCGTGAGTGGGTTGATAATTTTCTTGATTGTAAAAGGTCCCACAAATTTGAGTCCTAACTTTTTTGATGGCTGCAACATTCTGAGGTGCTTAGTTGATAAATACACCTTGTCTCCCACCTTCCATTGCTTCTCCAGTGCTTGCTTCCGGTCAGCAAACTTTTTTTAACTTTCCCTAGCGTGCTCCAGTGCCGATTTTATATCCAGCCAGATTTCTGTCATTTGCTTAACCCAATCATCTGCTGAGCTCCCCCAAGTGGCCTCCTGAGGCAATTCAGGGATTGGGACAAAATCCTGCCCAGTAGCTATTTTGAACGGGGTGAACCCGGTACTTTGGTGCACGGCGTTATTATAAGCCACCTCAGCAAACGGCAAGAGTTCCTCCTAATTATCCTGTTGATAATTGATGAAACACCTCAAGTACTGTTCCAACACAGAGTTCAGACGTTCAGAAGCTCGTCCGTCTGGGGGTGATGACTCAAACTCAGAGCCTGACTTGATCCAATTAACTTTACAAAAGCTTTCCAAATCTTTGAAGTAAATTGAACCCCGCAACTGCTAATTATTCGTTCGGGGACTCCGTGAGCTCTATAGACATGCTGTATAAACATTTTGGCTAGCTTGGTTGCTGAGGGGATGGACACACACGCCACAAAGTGTGCTTGTTTTGAAAATAAGTCAGTGACTACCCAGATCACAGTTTTCTTGTTACTTTCGGGCAGTTCCACAATGAAGTCCATAGCAATTTGTTTCCAAGGTCTGTCCGGGCTCACCACTGGCTGCAATAAACCCATCGGCTCCCCCCCGCCCCCCGCCATTAGCAACATATTCAGCTACATCCTTTCTCATTGCTGGCCACCAGAATTGCCTCTGAAGGAGGTGTAAAGTCTTTATGAACCCAAAGTGTTCTGCTGTTTTGCTGTTGTAGCCCCATTCCAGGACCCATTTCCTAGACTTGGCAGGAACATACAGTAGCTGTCAACCACTGCTCCTCAACATTTGTGGCAAGGGTGATCCACTCGTCCAGGGTCCCAGGGTAGCCCTGGTTCAACACACAATGCAGCAAATTGGGCTCAAACCCTGCTGGAAATACTCGATCAGGAGCATATCCAGGAATTCCTGGAGTTTCTCAGCCAGACCTTTAAACTCCAGCACATACTCAGACACTGGTCTACTTCCTTGCTTGAGTTGTGCTAATGTTCTCCTCGTCTTCAGGGTCACGCAGTGGTCCTCGAAGCATTTACATAAGGCGGCCAGGAAGACTTCCAGCTTCCCAAGGGGTGGAGCTTTTCCGCAGTACATCTCTACCACTCACTCCGCCGCCTTGTCCTCAAGGCAACCTGACATGTAGGTCACTTTCTCTGCTTCATTTTGGAATAAAGGACTGTAGCCTTCCATGTAGACCCGCACTTGCATTACAAAACAGGGTAACTGTGCCGGGTCCCTGGCGAACTTCATGGTTAAGCCCCATTGTTGCAATGGGCTCTTCTTCACTCTCCTAGGAACATAATCCTCATCCTCTTCACTGGACGTGGACCTTCGCACAACTCTTTACCTTCTTCCGACGTCCCTGGGGGTACTGTCGCCTGGAGCGGTTGGCTGCCACCCAGTGTCCTCTCAAACATGGCCCTCATAGCCCACAGGTCATCTGCCAGGGAAGTCATCTGGGTTTCTAACTTGTCCACTCGCCCCTCCCACATGGGTTGGGGTCCATGCACCTCGGCAGCCATCATCTGCTGCTTCGCTCCTCGCTCCTTTGCCATGGCTTTGGCCACTGCCCCCCACCTCGCCGGCTTTGACAGCTCAGCCTGCTGCTGCGGCTGGGGACCTTCCGCTGCACCACTCGAGGAACCTTGAGAAAAAGAGTGACCAGTAAACCATGGTAAGAACTGACTAACATCTGTGACTGCAATGCATGGGATGAAGGGATGGTGCTGGGCAAGGAAGGAAGTAATCCAAGGCTGCAAAGATGTGCAGGAGCAATCAATAGAGAGAAGGAGGAGACAGTGCTTGGTAGGACTCCCGTTCACTGCTTTGGAAACAGGTGACTCCCTTTCTCTTCTTCCCCTGAATCTTGGAAGCAGCGAGATGTAAAGGCTACAGGAAAACTGAGTCCTGTTGTTAAATGAGATCTTCACTGTTACATGCAAAAAAGAGGTTTGCCTGTGCAGGATGACCCAGCCTCTTCCGTTTTTGATCTGATTACTGCTTTTTAAAGTTGCAATAATCTCACCAAGATACAACATCTTGTAACAGTGTGAGAAAGATAAATAACCCTATGACTGGATAGTTTGCCTTTCTCACACTGGAAGCAATGAACAATTCTTGGTACATAACAAAAGTAGCTCAGGAGGAAAAGAGGCAATTTCCTTCTAAGCGATCAGGAAACCAGCGTTATTGGAACAATGCTTCTCTGCTGAGGCAGATTCTTAAAGGCGTCCTTGTATGTGTGCCCAGGAACTACCAAAATAAGCCCTGAAGGAAGAGAGTGGAGGCGGCAATACCAAAGCAGTAACAATAAATGTTTGTAAATATTGGCTAAAGGTGTGTGGAGGAACAGGAAGAGGGTTAAAAAGCCTTGAACTGAACAATACAGAGTGGTTTCTTCAGTGTTAACTTAGCTTAATTAGCTTCTAATGAATCCCTACCAGCCAAGTTGAAAGAAAACAATAGGTCAAGCCAAAGGGTATAGCAATGAGGCAGACCTTCTCCAATGGGATGTCTCTCTCTTGACCTCTCTTTAATGACCATCAGGCTGCCAGACGTGGGACAAGGGGCTGAGGGCTGCGATCCAGGGACAAGACTTTGTAAGACTCTCCTATCAGGAGTGTTGCCCAGAACCACACCTTGCAAAGTGAGCAACAAAGATTTTATAGGCATATT